AGCATCTTAGCTGTGGAGGGCAGTGTCACTGGCCCTCATATGTGGGATCCGAACCGGGGCCCTCTGGCATCCCAAGCGAGTTCTTAACCGTCACGCCACTCGGCCGGCCCAAAATGAACCATTTTAAAGAGAACAATGAAGTGGCATTTAGTACATTCGTAATGTGTGCAACCACCACCTCTGCCTAGTTCCAACGCATTTTCATCAACCCAAGGGAAACCCTGTGCCCAGTGGGCTGTCATTCCCCATTTCCCCCTCTCCCAGCCCCTGGCAACTGCCAATCTCTCTCTGTGGTTTTACCTATTCTGGGTATTTCATGTAAGTGGAATCAGACAATGTGAACTTTTGTGTCTGGTTTCTCTCACTTAGCATAATGCTTTTGAGGTTCATCCTCAGCATTGCAGCAAGGATCAGTACTTCATCCCTGTTTATGGCTGAATAACAATCCATTTACAGGTCTGCTACAATGTGTTTATCCATTCATCCACTGAGGAACATTTATGTTTCCATCTTTTGGCTCTTGTGAGGTGTTAATAAGAACATTTGTGTACAAGTATTTGTGAACAAGTATTTTAACTCTTTCAGATGTATACCTACAAGTGGAATTGCTGGGTCATTTTCATTGCTGGGGAATATTTCCATCAGGAATTATATGTTTAGCTTTTTGAGAAACTGTCAAACTGTTTACCACAGCAGCTAAACCATTTTACATTCCTACCAGCATGTATAAGGGTTCCAATTTCTCCATATTCTTGTAATCAATCAACTTTTAAAACCTAAATTTAAGAAATGTTATATATGGGCCAGCTGAGTGGATCCGTTGGTTAAGAGCTTACTCAAGAATGCGAGCTCTGAGCAACAGGGTCACCAGTTCGATTCCCACATGGGTCAGTGAGCTGCGCCTGAGCTGAGCTGCCAACATGGCGCAGCTGGTGAGAGGGCGTGCTCCTAACAACAAGGTTGCCTGTTCGAGATGGTGGGCTATGTCCATCTGCAACTAATTGAACACAACACCTTGAGCTGAGTGGCGCGACTGGACTTGGAGCTGAGCTTGCTGCACCCTCCACAACTAAGATTGAAGGACAACTTGGCTGTTGCGCTCCCACAATTCCCCAATAAAGTCTTAAAAAAAAAAAGTTATGTATATATATTAAAAAAAACTGCACTACACCATAAGGCACAGAGTATTTATTATCATAGAGGTTAAGCCTAAACTCTATGTTTATAAATACTGGAAAAGCAGGCCAGAAAAGTGCAGAGACTTACTCAAAGTCAAAGCTGCAATGCTGAAGATGCTTCTAACAAGATGGGCCCAGGCGAGAGGAAAATATTTTAGTAGCATTCCGTAACTCCACCCTCAACTTTACTCACATCCTTCAAGTTCCTGACACCAAAATTGTTTCCATTATCTTTCCGAGGATAATTAAGAACCCCAGTAATTAAAGAGGAAGCGAGATGGCTTTCAAATGGGAGGCAGGACACTGTGTGTGCCACCAAGCAGTAAGTACATCAGTCCAGCTATAGATGAGAGCCACTTAAGATATCTGGGGGCCGGGCGAGTGACTCAGTTGGTTAAGAGCACGAGCTCTGAGCAACAGGGTCGCCCGTTTGATTCCCACATGGGCCAGTGAGCTGCGCCCAAACTGAGCTGGTGAGAGCACGTGCTCTTAGCAGCAAGGCTGCCGGTTCGACTCCCGCATGGGATGGTGGGCTATGCCCACCCGCAACTAAGATTAAACATGGCACCTGGAGCTCAGTGACTGTGAGCTCTGACAGGCAGCCAGATGGCGACTGGATTTGGAACTGAGTTAGCTGCGCCCTCCATAACTAAGATCGAAGGACTACAACTTGGCTGTTCTCCTTCCCCGATTCCCCAACACTGTTCCCCTCCCCCAATTCCCCAATAAAATCTTAAAAAAAAAAAAAAGATACTGAGCACAAGGTTAGCCAATTTCAAATAGCCATTTAAGAAAATCTGTGGCTCCCAATCTCCCAATCTTCGTTTTCCCATAGCCTCCTATTCAAAGCCCTAAGTTTTTTTTCTCCCAAATATTTTCCAACACTTTTATTGGTCTGGGGTGGGGTTTTCAGGTGGTTGACATTTCCAAAGTGGAGAGGACAAAGGCCTCTGGCGTGGCTTCCTGCTTCAGCACCCCTGTCAGCAGGAACTCAGGTGAGAGGATGGGCACCCCAACCCGAAATGGAATGGAGCATCGAGGGACGTCCTGGGAGCACGTGACCACAACTCTCTGAGGCTGGGGAAGACAGAGAGCATAGACAGAAAGTCAGGCGGAAAGAACCCTAGAAATAGGCTTAGGGCCCACTTATCAGTTTTAGCATTACTCAGACATTAGATCCTGATATGAAGCCACATGAGGCACACTGCACTGTCTATGAAGCACTCCTGCCAGAAAGTTGAACCTGAATTTATTCAAGCCTCTCAGATTAACCATAATTTACAGGAATTATAGAAGATAGATGAATAAGATAAATGACACAACTAAGGGAATAAGCAGAAAAATCCAAACTGAGGAACATTCTGAAAGGACTGCTGCCCCAGTTGCTGCAGGGTCAATGGCATAAAATAGGCTGGCTGGGTTGGGGAGAATACTCTGGGGTGGAAGAGAATAAGAGAGGTAATAACTGCGGCAATACACAGACCTTGTCTGCATCCTGAATTGAACTGTAAAAAGACATTTTCAGACAACTGGAGAAATTTGATTAATGGAGTATGAGAAAATGACCAAAAAACTACTGTTAATTTTGTTATGGATGAATAATGGCATTGTGTTTATGTAAGAAAGTGTACATATTTCTTAAAGATGTGTACTTTATGTAGGAGGAAATAATGTTTGCACTTTCCTTTAAAATACTTCATTTAAGAAAAGAAAGAGAAAAATAGGGATAGAGCACATGTAGCAAAATCTAAATTAACCTGTTGACTCTGAGGGATTGGTATATAGAGGTTCACTGCATTATTCTCTCCTTTTGTGTATATTTGAAAATTTTAAAACTAGTCCATTTGGAATCAGCAGACCTATCTCTTTCTGTACCATAGGTCTTCCCTCACCACTCACTGTCCTGTATTCCCACCTGTACCTTCATTTTGTCTTCCAGCCCTTTCCCATTCCAGCCACTTTAGCTGCCACCTCAGCAGACCCAGAACATACCTTATAGGAGTGGGGCATGCTGGGTAGGACAGTGCCTCCACAGCAGCTGATGATCTCTCCCATCTGAGCTGGAGGAGGCTGGACTCCAGGGGTCACATGAATCTCATAGCCCTATGAGGAAGAAAATGGTGGAGGCAGTAGACCTTTGGGAAACTTCTGGAGGGAGGGATGAAGCATGGGGAGGACGACAGCCTCTCACCTCCAGCAGCCTTCGCTCCTGAGCACGGCTCAGGGCATCTCGGAGGCTGAAGCCAAAGTTCTTCTCCTGCTCAGGGTCAGTTACCACATAGTCATCTGGGGGCAAGAAGCGACCAGCCCTGTGGGACTAAGGACAGTAGTCAGTGTCAGAGCTCAGGCCAGCCACCAAGCTCTGGGCCTCGCATGTATAGGGTGCTCAAAGTATTTTGTGTTTTTTTAACCAAAAACACCGTTATTTTAATCTTCAAAGAACTGTTCTTTTCCCCAACATAGTCATGATTACCTTACAAAAATGGAGTTTACAATGCCTCTTTAAAGCATTCTACTTTAACAGGAAACTTAGCTTCACAGAATTCATACATTGAAAGTTTTTTTTTTAATGTACATTTTGATGTCATTATAATGTGACAAAACAGAACCTAGCATAGGGAATCCATTCATATTTCAAGTGCTTCTCCTCCAGCACTGTTTTACTATTTCCATTTAGCAAAATCTGGCCTAATTTAGTAATCCTTCTTCCTCTGGTGTGATTTGTTTCACCAGAGGCAGCCACTGTGACAGCTAAGTGATAGTGTTAGCCACCACAGCTATACCACAAGTCACAAAGTATCTTTTAAATTAAGCCTTCTGCCTTATTCACCCCTTTCTTCCTGCTCCCCTTCCTCCCACCACTTTCTAGAGTGCTAGGTGAGCAGTCTTCTTTGGTCACTCTCTATTGGTCTGTCTTCATCTCCTGGCCTCTCACCTGGTGCAGCCAGTCCAGGGAAAGGATAGGAATCCCCCGCCCCAGGGCACACAGGAACTTGACCGTCCGGCGGATTCGATCAGTCACCAGGTAGGACGCTTCTGCCACTGAGCTGGCCAGACTTCCCCCCAGGGCCAGCACTGCCCGTTCTCCGCGGGCATCCACCACTCCTGTGAAGAGTACCTGTGGAAGGGGTTGGCCTGAGCTGGTCACAGCAACCAATGCCATCAGGGCCCATCTCCCACATCCCCTGAGTCTCCTCCCACAAAGCCCCATGACCCTTCTCTCCTACTTTGGGGGCTGTGGACTTGTGGTTAGGTTTGGTGCATCGGAGGCTGCGGCCCGGCATTCCCTTGGGCTCCTCCTCAGCCTGGTCTCTCTTTCTCTTGCCTGGTCTTGGCATCACTACATTCTGGGATTGAAAAAGATTGCAGTGGAGTTTCGGAGCTAGAGCCCTTTCCCAGCTCCATGGCCCCAGGCCTCTCCTCACCTCTTCCTTGAGGGTCGCTGTCTTCTGGGGGACATTTCCTCTTCGGAGCCGTTTCTGAAGTGGAGGTGAATCCACAGTCCCTAAAGGTCTCTTGTGGTTTTGAGAGGCCTTAGCCTGGGGCTCTGGGGTGGACCTGTGTCTACCTGCTGCCTCTCCCTTTTGGATCTGAGGAGCGCGAGTGGAAGCCTCTGGAAGCTGGGCAAAGGCAGGCTCAGGAGGGGTCCTAGGGGACTCAGCTGCTCTCACTGCTCCTCGCCTGTGGGTCCTTGAGGACCGGGAATCAGGTTCAGGGGGTGCAGAGGAGGGGTTGTGGACAATGGGAGCTGCAAGGAACCCATGCTTTCTAGTGGCCCTTGGCCTCCTGCTGCAGTTGGCTTGAGGGATGGGCTCAGGGGGAATAGGCTGGTCTGTGGGAGTGGAAGGTTCAAGGTCAGGGTCTGTGGGTTCAATTGGTTGGTAGGTTTTGACAGAGGCCCTACGTGTCCTGCGCCAAGTGGCCTGAGATGTGGGCTCAAGGACAACAGGCTGGTCTGTAGAAGTGGAATGCTGGAGCTCAGGGGCTGTGGGGACAATTGGTTCAGGAGTCTTGACAGAGGACCTGTGTGTCCGGCCCCGAGATGTAGGTTTGGGGGTGACAGGCTGGTCTGTGGAAGTGGAATGCTGGAGCTCAGGGGCTGTGGGGACAATTGGTTCAGGAGTCTTGACAGAGGGCCTGTGTGTCCTGCCCCGAGATGTAGGTTTGGGGGTGACAGGCTGGTCTGTGGAAGTGGAATGCTGGAGCTCAGGAGCTGTGGGGACAATTGGTTCAGGAGTCTTGATAGAGGGCCTGTGTGTCCGGCCCCGAGATGTAGGTTTGGGGGTGACAGGATGGTCTGTAGGGGTGGAAGGCTGGAGCTCAGGGGCTGTGGGGACAATTGGTTCTGGGGTCTTGACAGAGGACCTGCGTGTTCTGACCTGAGATATGGATTTGGGGGTGACAGGCGTCTTGACAGAAGATCTATGTGTCCTGCCCCGAGAAGTGCGTTTGGGGGTAACAGGCATGTTGACAGAAGATCTATGTGTCCTGCCCTGAGTAGCCTGAGATATATTTTTGGGAGTGACAGGCTGGTCTTCGGCGGTGGAAGATTGCAGCTCAGGGGCTGTGAGGACAACTGGCGCAGGGGTCATTTCAGAGGACGTGTGTGTCCTTCTCCGAGTGGCCCAAGATGTGGGCTCAGGGCTGATGGGCTGGTCTGTGGGGGTGGTAGGGTGGGGCTCCAAGGCTAGAGAAGAAACTGGAGAGGGGGTCATTCTGGAGGATCCTCGGGGCCTGACTTTGGGTTTTGCACGGAAAGGGGCCGGCTCTGAGGACAAGGCAGTCTCTGGGGCTTCCTGACTCCTCTTTTGCCTGGTTCTGGGAAAGGGCAGCTCTAAAGGGGGTGAGAGAGAAAAGACGGGCTGAGGTGCAGGATGTTTCTGGCTCTGAGAAACGAGGGGGTCTGGGAGTGGGGCTGCGGCTTCAGGTTGTGTCAGAGGTAGATAAGCACCTAGGGATTCTGGGTCACCCTGGGGAGAAAGAGAAGCAAGTGAGGGAGAGAGAGGCAGAGAGAAGGCAGGAATGGATACTGTTCTGGATACTTGTTTAGGGGTGGAGTGTACACGCTGGCATTGCTCTTTCTATCTGTGACCACCTTCCATTAGATTGGGAACTTCCTGGGGAGGAAATCGTCTTCTTTCCCACGGACCTCGCCCCACAATGCCACTATAGTGTTCTCAGTATATGGATGATGGACAGTTGGGAAAAGAGGGAAGGGACAGGAAGAAAGGGGCTTTCTTTCTGAGTCAGGTAGAGGAAGACAGAACTTGGGAAACAGACATATGGAAAGCAGCAGGTGCCAAGGTAAAGGGACAGAGCCAACTAAGGAGTGTGAAAATGGAAGACAGTGCAGGGAGGGACAGTGGAGGGAATGTAGACGTGACTTGTGGAGTAGGGGGAAGAAGAGAAAGCAGCTCTCACCCTAGAAGCCTTCTCAGCAGGTGGCATCTTGTAATTCAAGTGGCCTAGACAGAAAGTAAAGACAATGTGGGTGAGGTCTAAGCAGTTACTGAGGGGATGAGTATCACAAGGGCTAGGTAATGCTTTGGGTTCCCCTGTGCCTTTACTTACCTCTCTGCTGCCTCATGGGGCTCACTGGGGCTCCCCTTTCTCCACCTGACTGGCTCTCAGAAGCTGTCAGGGCTGAAGCTAGTCCCTGGAAGTCCCCTGCCTCTATTTCAGGCTCTGCTGTTGGACTGGAGGCCTGCCCTTTTGGGTCCTGGCTCCCTCGCTCTGTCTCCCCTCTCCAGGCGCCACCCTCCAGTATCACTTTGGGTACACCAACCTTTAGCCCATCTGGCTCACACTCTCTCTCTGGTGCCAGTTTCTCTGCTTCTCTCTCAACTACTTCTCTTGCAAGAGTCTGCTCTACTATCTCTTTCTCTTGTAGTTCCTTGGGTGTTTCAATTTCGACCCTTACACTCTCCATATACTTTTCCGTACTTGCACTTTTCACCGTTTTATCAGACTCTTGTCTCTGAGTGGCTCTAGCCAACACCTGTTTTCTCTCCCTGTCTTGCATCACCCTAGTTAATTCTTCCTCTCCCATCACATCTTCTCTCTCTCCTTCTGGTGGCAGTTTCTTGGCGTCCCTCTCCAGTGGCCCTCTCTCGGGGGTTACCCTCTCTGCTGTTTCACTTGGTATACCCATGCCTTTCTTCACAGTCTGCCTCCCTCTGCCTTGAATCCTCAACGGCTCTGTGTGAACTGGGCTTTCTGGATGTTGGTCTCGAGGCATTGCCCTAAGTGGAGAGGGGCAAGATCCATGGGCCTCAAGCTGGGCAGCAACGGGCTGGGTCTCAGAGGTCTCTGACTCTCTTGGACAGAATGGCTGAGTAGGCAAGATCTCCCATGGCTCATCCAGGGCACCTCAAGTAGACAGAGAGAGAGACAAGAGAGATGAGAGATGAGAGATGAGAGAGAGAGGGGGAGAGGAGAGAGACAGGATTAAGATATATTCATGAGGGCCGGCCGAGTGGCGCGATGGTTAAGAGCTGGCTTGGGATGCCAGAGGGCCCTGGTTCGGATCCCACATATGAGGGCCAGTGACACTGCCCTCTACAGCTAAGATGCTGAACAACAGCTCAACCTGGAGCTGGGCTGCCGTGAGTCGCCAGCGACGGCGTAGGCTGCAGCCCCTGCTGCAGTGGGTTGCCATGGGCTACCATATGTAGCCAGCAGCCAGCGTGAGCGGCCAGCAGCCGCAGTGAGCGGCCGTCCAGAAGCCGGCGACTGATCTGCCTCGCCCGGGAAGAGCGCAATGATGGTGCCAGCTTGGGCCAGTGAAGCCACGTCCTCCACAACTAGACTGAGGAGCAAAAACGACAGCAACTTGTCTGTTCCCCTTCCCCCAATTCCCCAGCGCTGTTCCCATCCCCCAATTCCCCAATAAAAATCTTTAAAAAAAAAAAAAAAGATATATTCATGAACAATAAATCTATATGGGTCATTAAGGAATGCTGGGAATAATAAGGATAGTTGTAACATTTACTATCTGTCTCAAAAGGTAAGACCATGCCTTCATATAAAAGATCTCACAATAGCTTCTTAAAAATTATGCTAGACTAACTGCTCTTTGGGTTTAACTTAATATGGCATTTATTTTCTAACGAGATGGAGAAACATCAGCAAAATCATTGAAGAATATGAAAGAAACATGTAGAGGGAGAAAACAAGGATGCCAAGTTAGGGGCACAGAGGAGGGGAGTTTCTTATACCTGGGTCCCGGAAGCTGCAATGGGAAGGGCCAGGCTCTTGGGGTACGAAAGCCTGTGTGGGTTCATCCTCTATGCTCGGGACTGCTGCACAAGAAAAGATGGCCTAAGCACAGCTCCTCCACGGAACTCCAGGGTCCATTCTCAGTCTCCAGCCCTGCGCATGCCAGCTTGCACGCCCTTCAAGGACCACCAGTCTAATCTCCCAGCTCCTGCTTGCGCCAGTATCCCGATGACAGAGATGTCCTTACCTTCCAGGCTCTGATTCTCTGTCTCTGCAAAGCACTGGGTAGCTTGGAGGTCCAGATCTTCAGAATCTGGTGGGGGAGGAATGCAGGATAATAAAATATCACATGTGACCCATAATTCTTTACTTTTTTCCTACTATTCTCTCCCCAACCCAAACCCCTATACAATGGGACTGAATGCTTGTGTTCCCCCTAAACTTATGTTGAAACCTAACCTCCAATATGACGGTATTAGGAGGTGGTGCCTTGGGCAATGCTTAGGTCATGAGGGTGGAGCCCCCACAAATGGGATTAGTGTCCTTACAAAGGAGACCCCAGAAAGCATTCTTGTGCCCTTCTGCCATGAGGACACGGTGAGATGGACACTATGAACAAGGAAGCAGGTCCTCACCAGACACTGAATCTGCTGGCGCCTTGATCTTGGACTTGCCAGCCTTTAGAACTGTGAGAAATAAATGTTTGTAGTTTAAAAGCCATCCACTCTGTGGTATTTTGTTATAGTAGCTTGAATGGACCACGACACCCTGTAAGCTTTCTTCATCTTAGGGGTCGAGGGAGGAAGGCAGGTAAGCACTTACCATCACAGTTGCCTCCAGAGTCCCTGGTCATGTCCACATGTGGTTCTCTCCCACTCTCTGTGGGGAGCTGGGTTCCCTTTCTCTGTGGCTGGGTGGGTTCCCCTGGAGTGCCTGTATCAATCACCAGATCTGTTAGGTTCTCCCTTGAGACAGGGAGGTCCTCCCCCACTTGCGCTACAGGTAACCACCCTGGCCCCGCCTCAGAGCTCTCCCCTGCTCAAGGACAGTTGCAGCCCACTCCATTCCAACTTCCCTTCTGCTGGAAGCTGACTCTATCTTGTATCTGCCACTGCTGAAGCTGCTAAGGATGCACCCCCCCAAGCATGTTCCACAGTTCCCACCTGGAGGATGCCGGGCTTCTTCTAGCTGCCCCCCAGGCAGCTTTGCTGGGTCCCCTTCTGTTTCCACATTTGTTGGATTTGTCCATGCCACAGGCACCTGATGCTTCTCCCACAGTGTGACAGCTGGCCCTGGTGGAACTTCCTCTTCCACTTGTGTGTTCATGCCCACTGTGGCGGAGGCTTGGCTTTTCTCCAGGTGGACTCCAGATGAGCTCTTATCTTTCTCCATCTCTATATCACAGTCCCTGAAAAGAGGTTGGCTCTTTTCTGAATGTGCTTTGTCTGTGTCACCCTTGGGGACAGATTCTCTCTTTTCCACTGGGAACTCTTCCTCCTCCACATCGGTGTCACTGTCTGTCCCAGCAGAGGTATGGCTTCGCTCCAGGAGGGCCAGAGGCTGGGCCCTGGCCTCTTTCACATCTGTATCTCTGTTCCACACGGCAGCATGGCTCTCTTTCAAACACGCCAAAGCAAGCGCTGCTGAGACTTCTTCCTCGTCATCCGTATCGCTGTCAATAACTATGGGGGGTTGGTTTCTCTCCTGAGGGACCATCAGTGGGGCCGCACCCTTCTCCACATCTGTGTAACTACCAGCTGGGCTCTCTTGAAGATGTGCCAGGCCAGCTCCCCCAGGACTCTTTGTACTAACTCCATAGAAGATTTCTCTCTTCTTCACAGGAAGCACAGCTAGGGTTGCAGGGACTCCCTCTTCTTCCACGTCTGTATCACTGTCTGTGGAGCCAGAGGGCTGGGCTCTTTCCAGATGGACCTCCACTGTCCTTCCTGGAGGCCCGCTCTCATCATCCACATCTGTCTCACTGTCCTCCCCAGCAGGTTGGCTCCTCTCCAGAATCACCCCATTCCTTGCATCCCTCTTGACTTTTATGTCATTGTTCCCCTCCTTCACTGAACGCTGATCCTTTTTAAGATGGATTTCTGTTATGACAACTTTAGGCTGTTCTGTCTTTGCAGTGGCAGCTGAGGAGGCCTCTCTTGCTGCTGGTTGCTGAATTTCTTCCTTATCTGTGTCACTGTCCAAGTTGAAGGCCAAAGGTGGCCGAGGGCCATCTGGGGGAGGGGAAGGCCCCTCTTCATCACTATGAAGGGAAGAGAAGAGAAAGAGTGTATAGACTGTTTCTCAGGAAGAGATACCTGACTCAACCGCGAGCTCCTTGAGGGCAGAGACAGGAAGTATTTCTTTTTCTAGCTCCGGCAATTAATTCTCCACTTGGCACATCAAAGCTGCTCAAGAAAAATCCAACTGATGAGAGTATGTGTAGTTCCCCAGTCCCCACTTTCACGATAATTCTGTCTCCTAGAGATGGATCCTCCAGACCTTGGTTCCTCCTCCCTCTGAAGACTCAGGTGTCCGGCCCTTCAGTACTCACCTCTCAGGAACTACTGTTGCCATAGGGGAGGATGTGGTCCTTGGTTCTTTCACCACACACCTTTCAGAAAGAGGATCTGTCAAGAGTAGAAGAGTAAGTTGACATTTTTTACACTCACCATCCCCATCTCCTCACTCACGCTTCCAATACACATACTTACCTACTTCCTCTTCCGAGTCCTCAGCCAACAGGAGTCCCTGGGGTTGAGTTCTTCCCTGTTCCCTGGGTGTCTCCTCTACAGTAAGACGGCCCCGGGAGACAAAGGGCAGGGGGACATCCAGGCGATGGTATTGGCAGGGCAAGTCAGCAAAGACAACTAATTCCTGGTCCCTCAGATGATGACTCACCCCAGGGCTCAGGACCTTGGGAGGCCTCAGGATTTTAGTACCATTGAGGCTCCCACAATCCTGGAGGACAGGTGCCTTGTTCCAGGCCAAGATTTCAATCACTGCATGTTGTTTGGAGATGGATGGAAAGGGCAGGACCACCGAACAATCAGGCATTCGGCCTACCACATTCTTTCCGAGGTAGAGCGGGAAATCTAAGAATCAGAAAGGTAGACAGGTTCTAAGGTCACGGTCCTGGCCTGTTATTAGGAAAATGATCCTGTGAAGCACCCCACTACTCACTCAAGGTCCTCACATGCAACCAAAAAATAAAAGGCCCTAGGACATCTAGTTATTAAAGAACATATGCAATACATTATTCACAGTCAATACCCCACACAACGGTACCAAATTTTTATGATAAAATATACATAAAATATATCATTTTAACCATTTTTAAGTGTATAGCACAGTGGTATTAAGTACATTCATACTGTTGTGCCATTATCACCGCTACCCATTTTTAGACCATGCTGGATTTTAATTTAAATCTCTCCATCTTTTCCTACCAAAGTAGTCATCTACAGTGAGTCCAGAGCACTTGCCTGAAACAAGCAACTCAATCAGTCCCCTCTTCTCCATTTCCAGTAAAAAATTTTTGGGGGGGCCGGCCAAGTGGCTCAGTTGGTTAAGCACACAGACAACTAAGACTGAACAAGCCACCTTTAGCTGAGCTGCCCTGAGCTGCTGACAGGCAAACGGATGGCTCAGTGGTTAGAGCGTGCGCTCTTAGCAACAAGGTTTCCGGATTGACTCCCGTATGGGATGGTGGGATACGCCCACCTGCAATTAAGATTGAACACAGCACCTTGAGCTGAGTGGCCGCGAGCTGCCAACAGGTGGCTGGATGGAGCTGAGCTAGCTGCTCCCTCCACAACTAAGACTGAAGGACAACAACTTGTTTGTTCCCCTTCCCCAATAAAATCTTAAAATAAAATTTTTATGATAAATCTCCTTAAAGAAAAAAAT